TTTGCACTCACACGAAGCTAGCTCCACGCGCTTTGAGCAGCGTGTCAAAAGGCGCTACGAGGAGATATCCCTGGATTGGCAGCTGGTTGCGAAACGCTCAAGTGAGCCACTCAAGAAAATACGTTGCGAAACGCTCAAGTGAGCCACTCAAGAAAATACGCCCTGCTGCTTTGCACCTGATGAATTCTGTATTTGTAATTGTACTTGTAGATTGATTGATCCGCACTGCCGCACTATGGTGCTTTATCGAGGGATGTTGCCAAGCTGTATTGAGAATTTGTCTGCAAATCGAATGCCTGTAACTGCAAAATGCTGTACCGCGCAAAGCGACGGTTTTAACGGCTTGCAACAATGGCTATCGAAGTACCCGGCTGGCGGGCAACTGGGATGCAGATCGGTGGAGCTCCTCGAGGTACTGCGATGGATGCAGGCCCCTTGCCGCCGGAATGAATTGTCTGTTCCGGGATTCAATGAACTCACCGAGGTTCTCAAGTGCGTTGGCAAATCCTCCCGGCCCGAAGTGCGGGAAGTTGCGGAACGCCGCGATGCCTGTCTTTTGAGCTTCACGGACAATCGATGCTGTATCGTCAATAAGGGCGTGAACGCCCAGCCCTTGAAGGGCGTCTGCTTTGCCTCCCCTACCCAACCGTTCGTGTACGATTTTTATCGCAGAAAAAGTGAGTCCAGATGTCGCCCGCGCGTGCTCCAGGGCGACCTGGAACTCGCGGCGGCGATACTCGCTTGCAGCCCTGCCCACGAAGGATAGCACTATAAAATTTATAGGTGCGTAGTCCGCTGCAAACTGAACGAGATGTCGGATCACTTCCGGGTTGAGGTGGGGTCCCTGCTGCCCAACGTCAAGAACTCCGTGCCAGTCAAGAGCAACAACAAGCTCCTTGGGCGGCACCGGCCTTCCAGGCGGAGGTGGTGGCGGCGGGGGCGCAGGCGGTGCCCTCCTTGGTGGCGAGCGAAATCGCGAGCCAGCTTCGGAAGTTGCAGCGCTAGCAGCAGCTGCTTGAACGACCTGCGGAGGTGGCGGCTTGACGATGTACCCGAATTGTGGCGGGTTTGAGCTCGATTTGCTTCTGGGTTCGGCCTTGTTCAAACCTCGCGGAGGCGCCTTGTACCCGAATGCACTCTGAGTCCGAACTGGAGATCTTGCCCGTGGCGGTGACTTCCTCGGAATATCTGCTTTTGCCGGCACCGAAGAAACTGCCCTGGGGATTTCCTTGGGCAATGGAGGCTTGCTGCCAAAAATGACCTTGGGTGCGGCCTTTGGTGGCGGCGGTTGAACTGCTCCAATTCTCCGGCTGTGCAACGCGATGGGTTCAGAGTGAGTCGGCGCCTCGTACACGCGCCGAGGCACGTATGCAGCCCTGCCCGTCCTGATGGACTCCGCGTCTTGCGGTGGTTCCTCGTCCGAGCTGTAGGCGTCGAGGCGGAAGTGCTCCGCCGGCGCCGGGCGACGGTCAGGAGACCGTGAGCGCGAGCTCGTGGATGACCTTCTTGGGGGGTCCCTCCACGTCTCGTCCGCGAGCAGGTACGGGTCGGCTTGGCGAAGTTGCCCAGACGTCCGTTGTGCTCGCCGATGAGGTGCCGCCTCACGTGGCTGTGAAGCCTCCCGAACCAGTACCCAGGTGCCGTGTTCGTCAAACCTAGTCACAGGGTAGATGCCATTCTGTGGAGCCAAAACGATGGGCCGTGTGGCTAGGGAAGTCCTGGATGGCCTTCCCTCCCGCGCAAGCGCGGGTTCAACACTGTGGGCCCGTTGTTCCACAGGGGCAGCAGCAGTTGGTCCTCGTCTCGGAGTTGATGATGGAGACCTCGACCTTCGTGGCGATGGGGACCTCGATCTTTGTGTTGACCGTTCCCTGCTGCTCTCCCGCCGCGTTTCCGCAGCTTTAGCGTACACCCCGCGAAGAGTTGACTTTGCGGCTTGTCTTTCCTCTGCAGATGGCCGAATGCGAGGCAAAGGAGTGCGCGAGTCTTGCAACCAGGAGGAAGCTGATGGAGGCGTCGGAGGACGAAGCCAGTCCGCTGCACTGCTCGCTGCTCCCGCCGCGCCTGAGGCTGCGGCTTGATCCTGAGATGGCACACCTTGCGGCAAGACCACGCCTGTGGTTTCAACCAATGCGAGACGCTGCTGATAAGCGTTGTCCGCGGCCTGGATCACGTCGAAGGCTTCTTGGTCAAAATTCCACAGGTGCCAACTATCCAGTGACTCACGCCAGGAAAAGAGCGCCTCGACCTGTTGCTTCGAGGCGTCCGCAAACCTGATCCACCGGAATCGTCTGCTCTGCCGCTTGTACTCGTCGACGACGATCTGTTGCAGAGTGTTGTGCAATCGGGCACGCGGCGCTTTCCCACCGCGTGTGCCGCGGTGAGGGCCGACTTCCATGTGCGACTAACAGGTCGCAGTCACGGAAGGGTTTGTTTACCCGAAAAGCGTTACGGCTGATAACCACTCAAAGGAGAGGGAAACACAGTTTTGTCAACAACGGGGGAACCCAGGACCTTAAAAGGAACGAACCCCTCCGTGACTGCGACCTCTCCCTTAACCTTGGGGCTAGCGCGGTGCAACGCGCTGTTTTCAGCACTTGAGCCAAAGCAGTGATTGGATCATGCTTTGGCAATGACTTGAATGTACAACATGCAACTGACTACATGGGAACCTACCTCATGTACCTCTGGGCCATAAATGTCATCGTGATAATTGACTTGGAAAGCTTGAAATGCACCCCTTCTTGGCGTCCTTCGGAGAATCTCAGGAAATCCGTGCCTGGACCTTCAAACCACCCTGCGCAACCCCATAATTTGGGGGGTTTGAGGTGCCAGCCCGGGTGGCAAAAGCCTTCACCGATCCCCTGGCCTTTTGCAACAGCCGCTGCAGCTCGTTGAACAAGGCTTGGGCATCCTGACCGAAGCCTTCCTGCCATCCGAGGGCAAGCCCAAAGACATCCAAAGGACCTCCACCCCACCCCACCCCACCCCAACCCCCAACCAGCAGACACTTAACCGGAAAAAAAAAAGCTCACACAAAAAGAGATTCCTCTTTTCAAAACAAATGTGTTGGAGCTCCATGTTATGTCTGAGGGCGAGGTCATGTTGCAGCCAACCTCAACCCTCGCACCACTGGAGGCTCCTGAAAGATAATTGGTGAGTGTTCCTGTCAAGGGGAACTTCTGGTGGAAACATGGTGTGCAACCCTTCGGGCCTAAGTATGCAAACATAGCATCTGCATGTGGGTGGCCCAAGGTTGGGAAGATTGAATTAAGATTGATCTCGAATTAGTGCGGAGAACCACACTGATCAGGCGCACGCTTTTCGTGATCCAACATGACCGCATCTCATTTTTAACCGAGAGGCACCCTAAAAACAACACAGCTTCACCGCTAACCTATCATATGACAACTCCAACTTTGCGTACGCTCGCATCATTCCAAAGCACACAAACACACAAACACACAGACACACGGACACACAGACACACACGCACACACGTACACACGGGCTTGAAGACCTTACTGAATAGAATGATCTCACATCAAACGCGGTCAAGACTGGTAGGTGCAAACGCAGCTTCGCGCTGGATGTGCCCTGTGATCAAGTTTGCGAGTCTCCCCTCGATTGTGAGCCGTGCCTTCGTATGTGTGGGTGTCTCTTTCTTGAGGGCGCCCTTTTGGGGGGTTGCTCTTCAAGCACGACCAACATGGACACCACCACGTGGCACTCAACCATGTTTGGCCCAAAGCAAAGTGCAGTCAGAGGAGCCTGGTGGCAAAATTCCAACAGGCGGGCTTCGATCATCGATGTGTACCTGGGCCGCACCGGCCAGGGTCATGAAACGTCCCTACCAAACATTGTGCTGAAAAAGGGGGTTCACCCGTTTAAGCGGCCAAAATGCAATGTTTGATCTTTGAGAACCAATTGGCATGTTTGTAAGGACTGCTGAGCCCTCAAACTTTGCTTGGAATCGTGGGCTAGGCAATCGGACGAGCTTTGAAAGGACCCTAGGCCGCCCCCAGCTCTGGATCCACCACCATTGGATAGCTAGGGGGAGCTAACTTCTGAGTGGATTGGTGTCAACTCAACTTCCATTCAACGCGGCAGAAGGGTCATTCCAAAGGTCCACTCAATTGACTGTAGTCACTGGGTTCCCCCAAATCAAAAGCAACAATTTGCCAGTGTCTTCCTATATCATTGCCACTTTGGAGGTCCAAACTGCAGGGGGAATAAAGGGGTTGTGAAACTGCAGGCCATTTGTTGGGACCCCCTTCGAGGGCACAAGTACCCCCCTCCCCCAACAAAAAAAAAGAAAAACAAGGTTCCCTACATGTCCTCCCTCAACACCTCCCCACCAAAAAGGAACTCATTCTGTCCCAAAAGGTGATGTTTAAACCAACCCAAAGGGGAAATACCTCGGACCCTTGAAAAAGGCGCCCCTTCAGCACTTCGCCCAGCTAAGCGCCCAGGTGCTCTTGAAAGGCCGCATGCTGCTCATGGGTGTGACCGTGGTTTTGCAGATCTGCTGCCTCCGAGTGCCGTGCTTCAACCCCGCCCCCCCCCCCAAATGAAGGGGGACGTTTTAGGAGACCCAGCACGCTGCTTTAGTGTAGGGGAATTCAACATTTCTTGTGTTAGCCTTATTCTGCCACATCCAATGGGTGGTTCAGGGTAAAGAATTCTTTTGGACCTGGCTGCTGTCTTGTTAGTAGAGGTATGGGTGAGGGGTCTTATCTTACCTTGGTTTCAAGCTGCGTGAGGGGTCTTATCTTACCTTGGTTTCAAGCTGCCCCCGCCAAACCCACCAATGAAGGGTGACCTGAGCTGACCTGAGCCCTGGCACAAATGCACCAAAGAAAGAAAAACAAGAAATCACACCCGCTCTGCGGGACACCGAAACAGACCCCCCCAACACCCCTCCTTTGGGAAGACACAAATAGACAAACATTGTGTGTGTGTTTGAAGAGTGGTAGGAGCGTTGTTTGTTTCCTCTCTTTTTTTTTAAAAAAAGGGACTGGACTGTTCAGCCTGGAGGGTTGGCCACTCCGATTGCCAGAACCCGGCTGGGAAATGACTGAGGGAGCCTTTCAATTAGCCCAAGACATGATGGGTGCTAAATTAAGGGGCCTGGAAACCATATGATTAGACACTATCCGATGAACAAATACGACAAATCCCCATTTTGCATCCTTCCGGGATGTTTCACGTGTTGCGAATTTTCAGCACCCAGAAAGGGATTGCTGCGATCAACAGCCGCCTCCTGGTCGAAGATAGGCAGGCATCGGCTGTAGAACCTCAGCGCGGTAACTGACCCAATGACCATACTCGACAGTAGTGTTGAAAAAACCCACTTCGCACAGGTTATTCATAGGGTTGCATCCAACCGTATGAACTGGTGCAGGAATCCGTCCATCAAGAAAATTACCACAAACAACCCATAGGAAATTGACAGATACACTGGTAATACCCTCAATGTGATGACAAATGGACCTTGAGAAGAAAGGTGCACTTAGCCTTGAGGCAAAGTGGGAAACTGCCCAACGCAAACGGATATCTCCGGAAGCCGGGGAATGAAAAGAAATGTGTGCACCCAAAAAGGCGCCACTGCCCAGTCCTCTTTGAGACCCTTAGGCCCTAGCTCCTGCAAGTCGTCGTTCAACAGCTTCATGGCCTTAGCTAATTTGGTTCCTCGGTCGTTTTGTGCGCAAAGCTCACTTTGGTTGTCCCTCCGGTTTGAAGGGTTTCGTGCTCCCTGCTCTCTTTTGGCGGCTGCCCCTTGCGTTCTGGTTGTCTCTTTGGGTGGATTTGTGGTATTCTGCAGCATGAGTTGCGCGAGGCCAAATCAAGGGTTTCGACGGGGCTGTCGATTCATATGGTTGAGGGCAGGGTTGAATGTGAGAGAGCAAGGAGAAGATAAAAGCGAGAGAGAGAGAGAGAGAGAGAGACACAGAGACAGAGACAGAGAAGTAGGCAAGAACAAATGAAGAGAAAAAGAGAAAGAGAGACAAACAGTGCGGGGTTTTATGTTTTATCTGCGCGCGCAGAATCGCCATTTTGGGTCGCCCCAATTGTCTTCCGGTGGTTTTCCAGTAGTCTTTCGTCTTCCGTGTTTTGTGCTGGCTGGAAGCTTGCGCCTACAAGTTCTGAGTTGTTGTTCAAAGCAGTCGGTTTTTTTGGGCGGGTGGGTGGGCGGGCGGGCCCAAAATGACGTTGGGTCGCTTTAGGTGGGTTTAAGGTGAATTGAGAGGTACAGGTTGGGCGGGTTTGTGTAGATGTGATTTTGAGTTTAGTTTGCGTTCACCTGGTTTGGGGCGGGTGCTTGGCTTCATGGATTGTCGATCGGGTTGCCTAGGGTGGGTTTGCAGTCGGGTTTTTTCAGGGGTGAGTTTCGGGTTGGCTTTAGCTTTCCCTTGATTATAAAGCACCCTGCAGTTGCCATGCATTTGCCAGTTTTGTGATTTGCCATTCTTCAGAGCACACAATCGGTGGCTGGCGTTTAAATCACCGTCATGAAGAAAGCAAGATATCCCCTTAAATAACTGACGACTCGTGGCTTCCCTTTAACTCCCAACCACAGTCCCATTTTGAGAGACCCACAAATCGTCCTTCATGAACGAGCCTGGGGCAATCTGACGCTGCCAAGCGGCAAAGCTGATAAACCGATGTGCTAAGCCCATCTCGCCCATCATCAGCTCCTGCCCGTGCCGCGAAGCACCAAACTGACTTGCTCAAAGGACCTGGAAATCCAAGGTTGGCCCTACAGACTATAGACCCACGCCTGAGCGGATTTGTCAGAACCAGTCCGGACTTGTTTATCACCAAAATGGTCTTCCCAAACATGTTTCAATTTCATGAACTCAGGGAGGAGTGGGCCGCCCATTTGCTATCTAAGTACATACATATACATGTGTATGCAAGCTAACCAAACGGCACCACACACAAGCACGCGATAACTCTTTTATCCGAGCAGTGTGTTGGTGCCAGGGACTCATCTTCCCCTGTCAGATGACAAAGGCTGGGTGGGCCCCATGGGCCACCCAACTCACAATCTCAAAAACTGAAGAACGGGTGTGCAGACTGATAGCGCCCGCCCCTGAGCCGGGGCCCGTGGCACCCAGGCCACAGGGGGGTCTGCCACCAGGGGAAGTGAGTCGCCCACCGGCTCCGGTCACGGGAGCATGGGTGGGCCCACGCTAAGATGCATCTCCATTCAGGAGACGCGGGAGAAAAACGAACTCCTCGCAGAGTTCCTGCTTGGGGACCCTTTGCAAGGGTCGAACCCAGAGAAATCTGGGTGCGTCAGCTCATCAGCCCATTGATTGAATTCACGGGGCACGTGGTTGGCCGCCAGCGAGCAGCCATGGGTGTGGAGCAGGAAGACCAGCTCCATCAGGATCGCCGCCGTGTAGGGCTTCTTGGATCCAAGGTTGAGCATCGCCATGACGTTGCCCTGATTGTCACTGCCCACCGGGAGTCGGACCCGGGAGGACAGAGGGCCTTGGTGCGTGAGGATCATGTTACAGAGGAAGAGCGTGCCCAGCATCTCCAGAGCCGCAATCCTCCGCTTGGGATCCCCATTCTTGAATGCCCAAGGGTACTCCTCCACGTGGATCTGCTCGTGGAACCAGTACACCTCCTTCTTTTCCGGCTCCACTTTGTTGGAGCACCAACCTCCCACAAATGCCAGTCCTTCGTCCGAGGCGCTAGCATCGCTGCAACCCCACCAAGAGGACTTCGGCAAGTAAGGGGAGTACTGGACGAAAGGCGTGTTGAAGAGGAACCGCAGCATGAACGCCAGCATCCTGACCACCTTGGGGGGTTTCCCCACCGTGGTGGTGGCCATCTTCCAGGCCCAAAGTGGCTGGAGCATCGACTTCGCCAGCGGACATGCAGCCGTCGCCCATTGGATGCGACCCAGAGGCCTTCTCGATGTCCTTTGAGTGCATCGCCTGCCCTTCCACCATGGTCTGCAAAACCTCCATAACCAGGATGTGTTTGTTGGCGCCATGAGAACCTGCGGGATGTTCGGGTGGACCACGAAACCCAGCCACGTGTTAACCTCCGCCAAATGCGTCTTCTTCCAGCTAAGCGGGGTGCCCAAGGCCAGGAGTGTTGCCAGCAGCGCCACCGCCAAGTTTACTGCCCCCTCGCTTCGAAGCAGCCACAGGAAGTCATCGACAAAGACGAAGTTCCAATCCACTTGAGGGAAAAGTGCGTAGAGGACCCTGAGTAGAAGGGCTGCCAGGCGTCCCCAGTAGGATTGGGCACTGGCCATGCCATATGTGCCTACCTTGTTTACCCACCATTCTTCCCCCAGTGAGGCCACCTGGAACCGCCAGTCCTTCCTGAGGACCTTCACTCTCCGGTGGGCCTTGGTGACGTCCGCCTTGAGCAGCACCCACCTGGTGCCCGGCTCCGGCCATAGCCAGCAGAGGGGGGTCCCTCCGCAGCTGCCGCATGTAGCCAATGAAGAGCTTGGACCCCATCCAGCACCGTCGGAGCCGTCGTCCTTTCCACCGTCTGGTTCCTGGTGGTGTCATTGGCCCCTCCCACCGAGCCATCGTAGATCGTGCGGATCTTGTCCCCCTCGTCGATGCCCGCTAGTGGGCCGGGACAAAGGTCCTCGATTTCGCAGCCACAGCGCGATGCTGCCTCCACCTTACAGAAGGGGCCCTCTACCATGCCCATGGGGACCTCCTCCGCTGAAGTGATCCGCCGAGGGGTAGTTACCCCTGCCCGTTGGGTGAGGGAGTTCCTGGAACTCCGGCTCCTCCCCTTTCAGCTCCTTCTTGAGTGGCCAGATGCCCGGCGAGGTCAGGGGTGGGTCGACCCCCAGCGGGACCCCTTGCTCCAGATCCCGGGGAAACTGGTGGTCGGGGTCCTGAATGTTCAGCGCCACGCTGTGCAAGATGTCCAGGACGTCAGCTGGTCGGCCTGCCCCCGGCGCCAGAATCTCCCTGATATCCTCCAGCAGGTCCTCCGGGAAGGGATGTGACCCATCCCCCAACGAGAGCGACTCCTCTACCTTGTCCCCCCATGGCAAAGTGAGGACACAGATCTTGGCCCCCATCGCTGCTGCTTTGGACAGTGGCCGGGTCCATGGGGCCAACCGTCCCAATGAGGGCTTTCCTCCTCCGTCCCTTAGGGGGCGCTGTTTGAAGGCCATCTGGAGGTACATGACCTTGTCGGATAGATTGGGGTCGTGCGTGATCGGCAGGATGGTGGGCCGATCCGAGATCTCCATGCCATGGTGTGCCCATAGCTCAGGGGAAAGAGTTCCCCCCCCAAGTTCGTCCGTCTCGCCAGTCCTCTGTGTCGGTGTCCAGACCTCCGGATTGTCCGAGGCCGAGACCGGAAGTGAGCCCAAGGTTAGGCCTGCCAACGCTTGTTGGCCAGCCTTCAGCCTCCGGGACTGGCGCTTGTTGTCCCCCGGCGTGCTGGGAGAAGGTTCCCTCTGCCGCCTCGGGGGGGTCGTTGGGTTCGCCTGGGGCGCCGTGCCCCCCGGCCTCAGCGCCTCCAGGACGGGTCCCGCTCGGCAAAGGATGGCCGCTGCGAGACCCTGCATCATCTGCTCTGGGTACCGGCTGAGGTCACTGGAGTTGAGCTTTTCCCCCCTGGGGTGAGCCCCGTGGTTGCAACGCAGATCATGCCAATGGTGAAGGGGAAGGTCCGTTGACAATGTCGTGGACTTCACAACCACCTGGCCCAGGCGGCACTCGTCAAACTTGATGAGGGAGTGGTGGAGTGCGCTCGCCCATTGAATGTAGGCCCGTGTGACCCAGATCGATGAGCACCTCGCTGCGCTCGCTCTTGCTGCACTCCATTGGGTCCATCGGGTGCCCCAAGAAGGAGGAGCCCACCTGCGGGACCGTTAGCTGACCTAGCCCCTTGTAGGCCAGCGAGGTCAGGTACATCTGTCGGAGCATGAGCACGCTGTCATTGTCCGTGTCCTCCATAACCCGGGGCTCCAGGTCCTCTAAGCCCCACAGGGTCTGCTCTGCTCTGCCCCTCACCGGCGGCGGGCCAGCGGATCCTCACCTCTGGGTCTCTCTGGGGGGTCTTCCCACTGCCTCGGTGGGTGCGGGGGAAAGGGATGCTTTGGCCCTTCTGGAGTGCCCTGGCTGGGACCGCTCCTCTTCCTTGGTGGGTGTGCAGGTGGCCTGTGGTCCCAACTGAGACCGGGAAGCCACGGGGCCTATGGCACCCTGAGTGGCCTCCTGTCACTTGGGAAGGTGAGGGCATGCCTGTGGCACATGCTTCGATGGGGGGGCATCGCAAACCCACCCATCCTTCCTGACCGGGCAGTTGTGGGATCGGCCGCATGATCCCGAACACTTGTTGTGGAGGTGATGATCTCTGCAGTACGCCACCCCTTTGGGATTCTTGAAAGCCCAGTGGTCCGGCCATGGAACCGAGGGGGTGTTGGGGGACTTCCCCTTGCCGCCCTTGCCCTTCGGCTTGGACCGGGTCGGCCCCGAGGGCCAGGAGCCTTTCCCCCCCTTCTTGGCTTCTCCCACTGAGTCTGCCACACCTTGGGTGCCTTGCCCTTGCTCTTCCCCTTCTCCGGCGCCCTGTTGAGGTGCTCATAGACCTCCCGTTGCCAGAAGAGGAAGTCGCCCCTGATATTCTTGAGGGCATCGGAGAGAGTGGTGCCCTGGTGCACCATCTCGTGGATCTTGCGCCATGCATTGCGCTCTGCAAACAGCAAGGTGGTGTCGCTCGGGGGAGGCTTCCTGCCGGCGATGTCTTCCCCATAGAACCAGGCACACCAATCATCCAGCTCCTCCTTGGTGACCTTCAGGTTGCCAGACTGTGGCAGTGCTGCCGTGCACATCAGAAGCGTCGTCCTGAAGGTTAGGTGCAAACGTTCCAGCTGGCGCCGGGATGTAGGGTGGCTCCTCACCTCTTCTTCATCCTCCCTGTCCCAGCCGTCCACCGTGATCTTCTTGTGGGTGGATGAGGGGCGTTCCCCTTCTTCCGGGAGCGCGCTCACGATGTGTTTTGCCGGGATGTAGCCCAGCTCACCCTTGGCAATCATGCGCCACTGCTTTTTGAGGTAGCTATCACTCCCTTGGAACTCCAACCTCGGCTTCGGGGTCCCATGCGTGGCCACGTAAGCATCCTCCAGCTGGCGCCTGTCACACAGGACCTCCAAGGGCGCCTTTGTCGGGCCCGCTGGCCCGCCGGGTGATCACCTTGGTTGCCCCCCCGGACCAAGTTGGCTGCCACCCGGACTGCCTGAAGGAGGCGCATCGCCGTGAAGGCCGAGGTCTGGGCGTTGAACCCGTTCTCCCCATCCCGGAATCCCAGGTCCCGGGGACCATTCTCCCTAGCCGCCGCCGGGTGTCCCAGCGATCCGCCAGGTCTTCCACCGTGACGTATCCCGATGCGCCCAGAGCCGCCTGGGTGGCCCAGGGCAAAGCTTGAGCCAAAATGGCATGCGCCATTATGGTCAAGCATTGCCAACACAGTTCATGTTTCCACATGCGTTTCAACATTAACAAAGTGTATGCAAGCTAACCAAACGGCACCACACACAAGCACGCGATAACTCTTTTATCCGAGCAGTGTGTTGGTGCCAGGGACTCATCTTCCCCTGTCAGATGACAAAGGCTGGGTGGGCCCCATGGGCCACCCAACTCACAATCTCAAAAACTGAAGAACGGGTGTGCAGACTGATAGCGCCATTTCCGAA